TTGCTTTCACTGATTATGTTAAAATTTTAAATATTCATTATACATCATGTCATAGATAGACAGATATATTGGTTTGATGATCCTATTCAAAATGGCCAAATGGTTGTCATTTTTGTGCTAAAAAATCATCAAATATCAAGCATTTCTGGCATTTATGGATGGATTTCGTTCAAACTTGATACATACATTAGATATTACGGGTTCCTGATGCACGTCATTTTATTTTTCAGATTGGATTCAAAATGGCTGACCGGCGGCCATTTTGTTTTAATGATTGGGCTTCTAGAGCCATATCACTTAAATGCTTTGACTGATTATATTCAAATTTTATATATTCGTTATACATCATGTTATATATATATATATATATATATATATATATATATATATATACATGTATTCAAAATGGCTGATTTTGAATGCTGTTCCAGAGCAATATCTCTCAATATGGACAAGTACTTGTTTGACGATCAGATACAAATGTCAATCATTTTAATGTTAAAAAATCATATTCCTGGTTATATTCCAGCTATATTACTATAAACAAAACTATATATCTTAAATTCCATGACTAACGGAGACTGTGCCATGCATGGCTTGTTCTTCAATAAAAATGTCTTCTCTGTCTGCATCTTTCTGTGATGCAGTGTGTGAAACACAGCATACATTTTTCCGAAGTTGAACACATTTATATTCAAGACTGAGAACTGAGACCATTTGAAAAAGTAACACTCTCTTCTCACTAAATTAATGAGTCAATGCTTTTGTTGGAACTATATTACTTGATATTTATTGTGAGATGATGCGTTATGTTTCAGGATGTCCATCATGGTAACTCAACTCAAAATATTTTTTATGATGATCCTCATGTTTTATACATATCAATGCATCGGCATGATGAGGGCAATTTCTTCCCAGGAACAGGAGCACCTGATGAGGTAAGATTTACCATGGTTTTCATCACTTTCCTGTTCTTTGTAATGATGCTGAGTGCTGTGATCACAATTGCATGGTATTCTTTGTGGTGAATAAGAAATAATAACGATTGACAATGGTTTCACATCCTGTAAAATAATTTATTTTAGCTGGAATTAATTTTCACTGAAAAGACTTTTTGGGTGTTTTGTATGGAATTTATTTTCACTGATTGTTGACGAGTTGAATGTAAAATATAGAAAAAAAGGTATATTGCTGAATCATTCCTTCAGCGAAAATTATTATATTAAATTCTAAGTGAAAATAAAGCATTTTACAGTACGCCGATTTATTTAAAAACAAACACTTCCAAATATAAATATGAGAAAGAAAATTGTTTTCAATGTTGATGGTGTGCGTGTGAAGGTAATTTTTGTTAGTAAAAGTTGATATCTGCTTTTATTTCAGTGTGGCCAGGGTTCAGGGGTAGGATTCAACGTGAATGTAGCATTTAAGGGAGGAGTGGAATTACCAATGGGAGATGCAGAGTACATAGCAGCTTTCAGGTTAGTTGAATATCTTTTTACTATACTCCCAATCCCAGTGATCCAGTGATAAAATGCAGATTATATAATTTTGTCATTTATCTTGATAACAGGACGGTTGTGATGCCAATTGCCAAGGAGTATTCTCCAGATATCATACTAGTGTCGTCAGGTTTTGATTCCGCACTGGGACATCCACCACCTCTAGGTGGATATCAAGTCAGTCCTTCATGTAAGCTATAACATAGATATTCCAATATACTGTATTTACTCTATTACAAGTGCATCTCCAATAAAAACACAATTGAATACATCGAAAATTGCGTTAACGTATGCTGGGTTATTAAAATATGTTGACATTAGACACACCTCTGTTATTTTATATGTAAGCGCACATACAGTAATAGCAGAGTTTCCTAGTTAAATTTACTACGGTATTCCTGGTTCTGATTTCATGAAGAGTAACACATCAGAGACTATACTTTTTAATACTGGCTTCAGTTCATTAATTCATGCTCTTGGGAAAAAAGATCGCCCAGTTGCATCACACGTGGATGATCTTTTTTGGTGGGCAATGTTTCAGATAAATATGATAATATGTAAAATATGAAAATATCATGCGTGATAAAGCAGGAGAAATTATAAAAATGTGTTATCTTGGTATGTTTAAGATATATTCCAGAACAACATTGCTATGTTTCCATCTTCTTATATAACAACAGCCCAGTTATTATAGCGACAAATTTTTAATTAATTTTTTGTGATATTCCTTTGTTGTGTAGGTTTTGGATGGATGACTAGACAACTGATGACATTAGCAGGTGGTAGGGTGGTAGTGGCTTTAGAAGGTGGATACGATTTAGCAGCTATATGTGACTGTTCCGAAGTCTGTGCTTTAACTTTACTTGGAGATGATGTTGCTCCACTCTCGGAAGATGCCAAGCACGCTATACCGAATAGGAATGCGTTGGTGTCACTGCAACGAATAATCTCAATTCAGTGTAAGTCTTGACACGTTCATATCACTCAGACATGAAAACAACTTCATTCAAAATTGATTTGAAAAACTGTTGTAATATATTTATTACCATAATATTAATAATAAATACAAAATAGTGAATATATAAAATAAGCAGGTAATATGTACCGTAATAGAAGCAGGGAAATGAAAAATGTCAGCTATTCTGACCCAAATCTTCTCCACTTTGTGTTATCTGGTTAGGTGGCATATTCTTGATCATAATTCAGTAATGAATAATTAATTTAGGGTATGAGAATGCAAGACTAAGAGATTGAGAAATAAATATCAAAAATACTGCCTTGAGTACTTTTATAATGTCTACAGCTTCAGTGATATACCTTTGAGACATAGGCTGAAAACTGGCATTTAGAATTTTGGTTTGTCTTGTCATTTCTCAAAGACTTTGCCCTATTTTGTTCAAAAATTGGTACAATGTCAAAACAAAAGTTTAAATATATATTAAACATTTATTGCAAAACGGTCAGCAAACCGGTTAGCTGAATGAACTTTGGTGTCAGATTTCAATGTGTCTTATCATTATGATTATGGGCATTGACCACTCACAGGGGATTTAGCAAAGAAAGCTGCTTTTAGTACCAAAAACTGTGAAAATATTCTGTCATTATTGTAATACTGTTTTTTTTATTCAACATTATGTTTAAATATATAACCATATATCTATACAAATAATTCCTATTAACGAATCAACTCTGTAAACTACCGGTAAATACTTTCCTCAGTTCTATTGATTTGGGTTTTTCAACAATTTATAGTAAAGTTAGATTTTAAACTACGAAATACATTGGAATACGTTTAATATATATTGGGAAGATAGATTATCTTATTTGTGGTTATTTTCAACAGCTAAATACTGGGCAAGTGTTCAGCGATGGAGCAATACGGTGTCGTATTCCCTGGTGGAAGCACAGAAGAGAGAGGAGGAGGAGGCAGACACAGTATCGGCATTGGCGTCATTATCAATGGGTGTGCAATCAACAGATACAGAGGGGTGAGTTACCAGTACAACCTCAACATAATAGCGGACCCCCCTTTTATAAGCAGTCTATTTGGTAGAATGTGGTCAGTATGTCTGCTTACTCTGAGCACAAAAATCTGTCAGGGAAACTTTTTATAATCATGTTGGTTTTGTTGTTTATGCTCAACTCATAGAAAAAAAATCAAGATATGGAATGTTTTTTTTTTTTTCTGTATAGCTGATATTCAATGCCAATGCATTCAATGGAGTTTCTATTCCCAGTTGCTCATTCTGACAACCAGAAGTGTGAGGACGCTAGATTTAATCCCTATCACTGGCAAAATTTCACTTATGTCAATAAAAACTTACTACCTACTATAAATCATTTAGACTAATTTCGAAGGTTGAGCACATTTCAAAATGGAAAAAAACAAGTGTGTACTCTGATCATGTCATGCATAATGAATGGTGTGGATCATACGTAATTTGTCATGTGGCCAGCTGTAGTTGACCTGTCCAAAAAATACTGCAACTTACCCGTTTGTGATTTTATCTTGTTGCTGGTTTCCTATTACCATACTGCGACTGAACATATACAATCTATATTGTGCCATTGACAGATCAGAACCAATGGAAGAAGAAGACTCTCCTTCATAACCATTCCGTTAGAAGAGCACTGATCAGTAGTGTGTTCACCTGCTTGATGTCTATAAACCAACACATCTATGTAAGCATGTGTTAAAGAAGTAATCTGCAGACAACCTTACTCAGTTGCTTGGAGAGACTTGATGTTTGTTTGAAATGAGAAAAATCAAAAACGGCATTGGTCAGTTGAAGAAAAGCTAAACACTGAAAAATGGTATATAGTATTGATGACTGTTTGTACAGATTGGAATATAGAGTGGTGATATGGTTACTGCTTCCATCATCTGATGTTACACCTCTGACCTCTTGTTGTGACTCTGTGCTGTTCTGGCTGATAATGACTGTGAACGTGTAGAAATAAAATAATCCGAAACCTTGTGTGCGTCACCCCAAGGATTGAGATTGCCATGTTAAAATGTCAGCCTATGTTCTCCTTTGAGAATAACACGCACCTCCAACCTTTGAGTCTTGTAGGTCTGTATGAACCAAGTACAGCGTGACTATTCTGTGGTTATCTAGTAGAGGTGAACTGGACAAACTAGAACTGCAACTGGAATTATGTGAATTTCATTTCGCCATATTCGGCTCTGATTGTTTTTGTTTTATATTCTCTGTATTACTGACATAGCATCATAGTTCTATGTTTTTTAGTATTATTAATAATTATACATATGTTAACGTGCTTTTATATTGTTTTTGTACAGATTTGTAAAATGATACAAAAAAGAGCTGTTACTATTTATCATTTATTTCTTCGATCTCATTCATCGACAGTTTGTCTTTTTTTAGGGGTGGTCTCCACCAACATCCTATTTCCGCCATCTTTTTTTTAAAGAATCTTTGAAAACTTGAGAGTACTGACTGTTTAAACTGTATTATTTCCAAACAAGAACAGATTGCCTTTTAAACACTTTGTAAATGAATACTAGAATTAAATCCACAGAGACAGCTGAGTCTATGATCTTACCTACCTAATTGTGAATGGTTTGATCCACTTAATACTATTGGTTGTTCTGTCTGGGGTAAAGGTCACCAGACTTTCCACTAAATCAACGAGTGCAATTAATGTTACAGGAAGCATCGGACAATCAAACATTTGTTGTTTCAGCAGCAACAATTTCATTAACGTGAAAACAAAACTTTCACCTTATTTACTTAAAACCTATTTTTCTTGTAACCTGGATTATAAAAAATGCTTTGAAATATAATATTTTTCAAGTTTCCATGTCGGTAGTTGTTGAAACATCGACTTTTCCTAATTATGTATTTTTCTGAAATAAGCATTTTTCAATTACGACCGTCTTTTTTGCATGTATCTTTTGGGGGGAGTACACGGTAGATGGATAGAGTGCCTATTCATTTTTTCTCACTATATACAATATATGTATCATGGTAATTTACCCCAAACTCCATACTGATTTTTCCTGTCAACAAGTCCGCCTTCAACTTGGAGCTCTTAAAAAGAAAAAAAAAATACAAGGTAGTGAACTGCTCCCAAAAGTTTCAAAAGAAAAAATGACTTTCGGTTAAGAGATTCTTTTTATATTTAGTAGATATTTTCTTGTCTGTTTTTTGTACAGTTTCGGGTGTAAAAACTATGCCTAAGTAGAGTTTGGTGGCCCATGATGTGAAGGATTTTTTTAAAGGTGTACAGCAAAAAAAGATGTGTTTTTTTCTTTCTCCTTCAGAAATATATTTATAATACATATGTGTATGAAGACAGTGAATGAAACCCTGTTTGTAGTGTTACAATGAGTGAAAAAATTTGGTGGTATCTGCGATATTTTGAGATAGCATAAGACATTATGCTAAAATAGGAGCATCAATGAAAAATGTCTTTAACTTTGTATAAACAGGGATTATATTATTGATGAAAAGTTTGCAAATTAAAAAAAAAAATTGATTAACATGAAAAAAAAATTAAAAATTCATTATCTTTATTCTTGATTCAATATTTCCATATACTAGATGGTACTTAAAGGCAACGATAAACCGTTGTAAAAATTATTGTATGTCAAATGGACTCTTGTTCTCTTTTTTTTCTAAACTACTGGGTATAACAGGTTTATTACTCCGTTATTGCTTGTCCATAAATATCGGTGGTGTCACATTTAGCAATGCAAGTATCGAGGATTTCTATTGGTTTAAGTCTGAGCATGCTCAGTCAGAGTGAACTGAATGCTGGGAATGCAGTTATACTTGTACTGTAATGATTACAGTGGATCTTTACTGAGTTAGCAGGGTGCCAAGTAAACATGGTTTATTAGACATATCAATAATGAAATATCAGTCAACACATGTCAATCATTGGGGTTGGGCTTAAATTTAACTATCAAGTTGTGTTCTTTTTCTGTTTTGTGTAGACCAACACCCCCTTCTAGTTTAGTGACTACTTATTCGTATATGTGCAGTATTTTCATCCTACTATCATTCATGTTTACTTGGCTCCCTACACTGAATCCAGGAGCCTTTAGGCAGGGATCTATGACACACTGTGCAGTGAAAACCACATATCAATTCCTAATGGTACTGTAGAATTGGAATTTCAGAGGCAGATTTTTGGTTAGGAAGGTTAAGTGGTTGTTTTACACCCTTGGCTTTATACTATATATACATGGATGCTTCACTATCCTAACTGTATTTTGTCATTATAGTCAACTTGCGTCTTGCGTATGCATTTTAAGATTGTGTGGTTTTCACTATCACTGGTAGACATCTGCTTAGTTCGAATCAGGTCAGGTTGACATTGAAACGTTATCAATACACTGAGAAACACGACCATTCATCTTAATACTTTATGGACTGTAGCAGATGCACATTTCTTTATCTGCCTGCTCACTTTTCCAAGTGAGTTAGGGAGTAGTAAGGGATTCTGCATTATGATACAGACCACACTCAACACAGCATGACTTGAACTAGGAATAAGGTGATACTTTTGCTTGGTAGTTGAAATCAGAAATTTCCATTGCTTGTGATCTCTGACCTGACCTGACCTGACCTGGTGCAGTTCCATTGTATCTGCAAAAAGATGAAAGATAGTTTTGTAAATTTATCGTGTTATTTTTTTATACTACATTGCGCTTAACTCTTGGCATGTTTTTGTTGATGTTCCTCCACAAGATGTGATATCGTTATTTGGAGTTCAATGATTATGTAATAATACTAAGGTAGCAACAGGGGCGATATGTGTTAAAAATTGAAAAAAAAATTCAGAAATTCTCTCAAGGTTACTAAGCATGCTACTATAACAACTTATACATCTTCTGAAAGCTTAGATATAGATGAATACGTCAGTGCGTATGTTGTACCAATGTTTGACTCAGTTTTGCTATTTTGTGTGTGACTATTTTGACTATTAAGCAAAGTCATTCAAATGATCTGTGAATTGCACCTAACATTGGTAACACTGATGGCTAGATGATCGTCTATTGGTTTTTCTTTACCTGCCCTTGGTTTCCAGCTACGACTAAATCACTACAGCATTAAAAAGTGTCAAAAGAAGCGCAGTAGAGAAATTGACTGTCAGGTAATCCCTCAAACAAATATTGGTATAAATATTTAAATTAAATTAAATTCACCTTTTTCTAAGCTTTCAGATGATGTATAGTTTGATATAGTAACTTTCAAGCGAATATCTGAATCGCAGATTTTACCCCTGTTACTATCTTTATAATGTGAACTTTGCTTTTGCCACCAACGACATTTAAGTGATACCTTGGACTCAATGTACCAGATGTCACAGCAAAGTGAATAGCGATGTGTAAACAGATTTCCTGTCTAAACCAAACTTGTGTAAACTGGAAACCCGCATTAAACATTATTTAAGGCACTCCCCCCTCCAATAGACTTGCTTACATGTATAATAAAAGTTTTGTAAAAAAAATCTTCTATTTGCTGTTCAACTTAGACTTCTATATTTGCATATTGAGTTTACATACAGGAATGAGCATAACAATTTGGCAATATTATTAACACTGGTGTCTTAACTCATTGGAACAAGTTTTCACCAATCTGTATTGCATTGCATGATGGGTAATTACCATGGAGGTTTTTTTTTTTACAACAATTATTAAAATAAAATATAATTGTCAGGCTCATTTCTTTCTCCTCTTTCACAATTTTGTGCACAATGTACTCTGTAAAATAAGTTTTCTTCCAAAAATGTTGGGAAATGAGGACATTAAGGAGCTTTCATTTGTATGGTCTTTTTATTGAGTTTTAACATTTCTTCTTCGATAATACTGTGTATATGTTTAAAGAAATGTATTTTTTCCCCCCTTAACTATATAATTGTTGTCTCGGCCCCATTTTTTTGTCTATATATATAATAAAAAAAAAACATGTACTGTGTATCCCATGCAGTAACAGTAATGTAATAAATGTGCAAGAAAATATACACCTCATTGTTGCTGTCATTGAAAATATACACTTCGTTGTTGTCATTGAAAATATACACCTCATTTTTGCTGTCATTGAAAATGTACACCTCGTCATTGAAAATATACACCTCATTGTTGCTGTCATTTTGTCACTTCATAATATAACATCTGGGCTACTTAAAAATAGCTTTGAATTATTCGATATGGATCAATGTGACACGTTTGGTTTTTTCAACATCGGTCATAAATATGTTGAGACATTTATATTTTCCCTGATGTTACCTGAAGGCATCTTTTACCAGCTGGGAGAGACCAGAAGTATTATGCGCAACGGCTGATTAAATAAGCTCTCAATGTAGGCATATGGGAGGCATATGCTATGTGGAACAATAATAATAATATGTGTAGGATTTCCCTTAGTCTTTTATAGTTTGCTTTATTACCACTTAATATTATCATTTCTATTACCGGTAGATACAGTATCTGGAAAGTTGAAGTTGTTGCATTGAAAGGAAAATCAGACTGAAAGTTGAAATTCTTTCAGAGAATCAGAAAAGTTGAATGAAAAGTTACATGGTAAATGGGAAAAAAAGTCGCATCGTAAACCAGAAAAGCTACCTGGAAAATTGCATTGAAAGCTAATGATCCATTATAAGATTCCCTCAGAGAAAGTTGACTAGAAGTCAAGGAAGTTGATTGAAAATTCAGAAATTATGCCTTATAAGTAGAAAATTGTACTTCACCCAACTTTCCAGCGACCTTCCAACCAACTTTCTACGCAAATATCAGACCAACTGTAAGCTAAGCTTATTGAAAGACCCTAGAAATGGGAGTGCACTATATTTGACAAGAAAACATCAATTATCAAATCATTGCAATCTACCCTTACTGCAAAAATATAAATTTTGGTAATCTATTTTGGAACACATTGAAAAAAAAAAGTGTCGTCTTGGTCAGTTTAAGGGAGGGATAATTAACAGTGAAAATTGCGAGATCCTCGGATTTCGTTAAAAATTACTGACCTGTTCAAACATAATCTTTATCATTATACAAATTTTGCTTGGTATCTGCTGCAGAATTAATAAGAAAATGCTACAAATCTACATATAGACATGGGTGGCCAGAGCCGGACACTAACAAATTTACACTTTTTAGCTCCGCTGTCGACTTTGTCAAGTGGAGCTTATCATACGAGTGATTGTCAGTCGTCGTTGTCAGTGTCAGCTTTTTACTTTTTCGACTTCTTTGAAACTACAAGTCTGAATGCTTTGATACTTAGTGTATATGTTACCTTGAGTAGACCTCTTAGATTTGTTCATTTCATGATGATATCTTCTGTTCTCTAATTTTGGTGAATATTTTTGCCATTTTTGGTTAAAAGTCACATTTTCGACTTCTTGTTAAAAACCGCAAGTCCGATTGCTCTGATATCACATATATAGGTAAGTACATGTGGGCCTTTCTCAGATGTGTTCATTTTGCGATATCTTCAATTATCTAATTTTAATGATTATTTTTGGTAAAAAGTTATATTTTCGAATTCTTGTTGAAACTGCAAGTCCAATTGCTTTGGTACTATACATATTGTTCATTTTCTAATGATATCTTCAGCTCTTTAATTGAAATGTGCATTGCTAACAGCGGAGCTACCACATCTCAGTCAACAGGCTGCTTGTTCATTCATTTTCTGTGCTGTAGTGAAAGAATACAACGAGAAACGTGTGGTGGCGGTATTCATAAATTTATTTATATTCAATCACATGATTGTTTATCATCACTTTGGTCTTGGTTTTAAAACAGACATATCTTATGTGTGGTTACTTCTAGCATACGTTGGAGGGAATATGGAAACACTGCTTTATGAATTGACAACAGACTCTTTGTTTGATTGCATGGAAGTACAACTATTGTGGTAGCATTTGCATTAAAACCTATCAATTTACAATTCTTGTGAATGATATAATTTTCACTATTAATGTAATTTGACAAGGGCATTCTTACGAACATTTTATGAAAGTCTCTGTGGCTCCCTAGGACCCGAGTAAAAATTGCTTTGATTCCTTAGGACCACTAAATTTAACATGTGTCTCCAAGGATAGTCAAGATGAATGGGAACAATTGGCATCAGCAGGTAATGTACATATAATATATATAAGCTGATTTTATCAGCTCAAATGCAGTTACAATGTGAAATGGGATTCCCCATTGTGAAACGCACCCTCCACCGAATTCCACCAGTGTTACCACTGCAGACTGGTTGAATAATTGGAAAACATCGCAATCCTCTTCATAAACAATTGATAATTATTAAAATAAGTAAAACATGGGGCTTTTTTTATACATTCAGTGATTTAGGTACAAAAAATCCTCTATATGGATAACAGTTTTAACAGCTTTCGTAGCAATGGTACGAGTGTTGTAATTGAGAAACTGTAAGAACACACCATAGATTCATGAAAGTCAAGAAATTACAACTGATGAAATTATTACATCATATTTCAGATATGTTAAATGGATGCCAGGAAACATGTATGATCCTCACAGCTCACTCCACTCCAGCTTAAAATGTCATTTCTGATTTGTGTAGAGTAAGGTAATCTATTTTTTATTTTCAATCTTTCCTTCCAGGTTATTGGCGTCAGTCTCTGTCTGAGTTGTTTCTGGCTGTTCTGGTCTCATGGCTGGGAAAAACAGCACTTCCTGTACAAAGAGCAAAGATTGAGACAACGTCAAATTACGCTGCTGGAACAATGTGTGACTGCCCTCAAAGTTAAATACAGGAGAACATTAGCCACAAGTTAGAGTTGAGAAAACACTGTTCTAATTTAAACCTGTTTTTCTGCAAACCAAGCAGACAAACAATTTTTATGATTTTAAACCAGCTATTCTTGGGATTATTATGTGTAGAACTATTATTTGAATTAACAGTCTGAAATACGTTGATTCGCAAAGACATGCAATTTTTCAGAATAGCAATGACAATTCAATAAACATATTCCCTAATTTGTGCATGTTCATCAAATATACTGCAAGCATGTTTGAGTTATGAGAGCGATCGCCGTACCTTGATATTATTGGAGTCTGTGAGAAACATTGTGAGTCTGTCAATACCCATACCCCATCCGCCAGTTGGTGGAAGACCATACTCCAGTGCGGTACAAAAACCATCATCCACGCCTTGTGCTTCATCATCACCCGCAGCCTTGGCCTAAAATTAGTAAATTATATTAATAGAATTATGAATTCTGTAAAATATGACAACATTATCAGATGTGTTGAGGTCAGCATTATCCTAGGTGTTAAGTCTAAATAGATTTCACTATATAAGGAACCTGATAAACACCTCTGTAAAACTGAATAATTTCTATATTACTCACGTCTGCCTGCAGTTCAAACATTTTTCTTTGTACGGCCGGATCATTCAGTTCGGTGTAGGCATTCACGACTTCTTTCTTACATACGAATAATTCAAATCGTTCTGTCAGTCCTTTTATTGTTCTATGCCTATTGAGTACAGTAAACGTCATTAAAACAGGCCATAGCCCCTGTTATAGGCCGGAGAGAATCAAGATAGCGACAGAAAAACCATACAACACTTACTTACCACAGAATTACTAGTCACACTTACCACAGAATTATCAGTCACACTTACCACAGAATTATCAGTCACACTTACCACAGAATTATCAGTCACACTTTGCACAGAATTACCAGTCACACTTACCACAGAATTATCAGTTACACTTACCACAAAATTACCAGTCACACTTACCACAAAATTATCAGTTACACTTACCACAGAATTACTAGTCACACACTCCACAGAATTATCAGTCACACTTACCACAGAATTATCAGTCACACTTACCACAGAATTACCAGTCACACTTACCACAGAATTATCAGTTACACTTACCACAGAATTATCAGTTACACTTACCACAGAATTACCAGTCACACTTAGCACAGAATTACCAGTCACACTTAGCACAGAATTACCAGTCACACATACCACAGAATTATCAGTTATACTTACCACAGAATTACCAGTCACACTTACCACAGAATTACCAGTCACACTTACCACAGAATTACCAGT